AATTTTCTTTTTAATAAACATGGCCGTGCCTCTGAGCTCATATTGGCTCTTTCGAATTTTGAATATGTTCTGTAAAGATTTTGACAGGAGATTGTTGTTTACTTTGAACGTGATTTTCAGAGTATAAAGGTCGACTAAATCGTAAAATTTCAGAGTTTGAAGGTTTATAAATAACACATTGGCTGATTCGTTATAAGGTGACAATGTGTTTGCTCTTATTGCCTTTTTTTTTTTTTTTGTCATACTAAGCAGGTGATGGACCCTCCACCAGAAAAGTCACACAATGCACCTTTAAGGATTACTTTTTGTTTTTCTTCTTTTATATTCTTTCTAGCAAAACATTATGATTCCATACTGTAAATATTCCAGTTAGTTTATAATGTTGTAGCTAATGCCAGGTTGAAGTGTGGAGCGTTTTGAATTAAATTTGAATCTCTAATGAGGAGAAGACGGGACGTAAAGGGCAGGAGTGTGCAAAAATTTCGAAATATCAATATATCGTATCGTTTAATGTGATGATACAGTATTGATATTGTGGGCTGCTGTATCGATATATCGCCAAGAGGATATTTTGGTGTATTTTACAAAATTATTTTGTTACAGAGCTGCAGTTTTGTTGCTTGTTTAGTGGAATGAAACTTGTTTATGCAACACATTTGACATATTCACTGTTTTGATGAGTACAATGAGTGTTTCATATGAACTTTGCACAAGAAGTGGTTTAACAAAGACTTTTAATATCACAGCCATAATTTAGCCTTTATTTTTTATTGAACTCTATTGAATCGACTTGAAATATATTGTATCGAATCGAAAGCTCACTGTATCGTGATATGTATCGTATCAGCAACTCCTTAATGATACCCTGCTCTAGTAAAGAGGAATATTTGAGTCTGATTGGTCGAAGCTTCACAACAGCGAGACAAGCTTTAAAATCTTGAACTGAAGAAGCGGCTTGGATGAGCTGCGAAATGTTTTTGACCTAAATAAACATTTGTCCAGTAGACAAATTTAATTTCTCCTTTGCCTGAGAAATTTTGTGTTAAATAAAATCATTAGACCTGTCATGATAATCACTATATTGATTTATCGTTCAATATATGAAAGCTTGAACCATATATTTTTGGGCTCAGTATTTATTATGTGATCAATTTCTTTGACAGACAGACAGATACTTTATTGATGGGAATTCCTGAGCAAGCTGTTGCAGTTGATGTTGCTGCAACCTTTGTGCATATTTGAAGTTTTTAAAGTTAGTTTATTTATTGAGACAGGGACAGTGCACAATATACATTAACCTTAACAGGAGAGATGTATTGTACCAGGTTGTACCAGCAGTGCTGATTTTCGCCTGTCGTCCCTGGGCAGGTTAATGAATTGATTGTATTTAATTGACCTTAGCTATCAACTGTTCTTCCTGGAGACCTGTGTAGCGTGTTTTGGGTCATCTCAGTAGCCTTGGTGTCTCAGTCAAAGGCCTCAGTGCAGTTTAACAGGATGACTGGTCCGGGAGAGTCAGCAGATCTGTGTCAGGACTGTTTGAGGAGAGGAAGAGTCATAAATGTACCTCCTCTGTGTCCTGTCTCTTCTGTGATGTTGATGACAAAGTAAGAAAAAAAACTAAGGCACTCAAAAAGTACAAAATAATTAAAAGCCTTTAATACCACATGGCAGATAAAGTTAAAATATGCCAACGAAATGAAACAAGATCCTTTATCTGCCATGTGGTATTAAAGGCTTGTAATTATTTTGTACTTTTTGAGTGCCTCAGTTTTTTTTCCCTACTTTGTATTTGAGACTGGTCCCTACACTGAAGAGCACCAAAAGGACAATTCTGCACAATTTTTGCTTGTCCAAATAGCACTCCTGCCCCCAAAGCTTTGTGATGTTAATGACGAAATGGAAATGGTCCATTCCCTCAAAGTATTTCTTCTGGAAGGTCTTCTGACATATTTGCTGCCACATATGGTGCAAAAAAAAAAAAAAAAAAGCCTGCAGCATCTCGAATGTCCACAGCGATATTCTCAGCTACCTCCTTGCCCTTTCTCCATGTATACAGGAAAAACAAACACCTCATTTCACAAAATCCAGCTTTCCTTTACTTGTGTGCTTTGAACTGCACACGCTGCACTTCTTAGTTGGTTAAAATTCCACGATATGACGTTAAAAACTGAGCTCAAAAAACAAAAAAAAATTCAAAAACTGCTCAGTGTGTGTGAGCCAGGCAGCCACAAAAGCAGCCAACCACTCTTTTGTTGCAATAAACGGGGAGCTTTTTGTTATTTTTGTTGTAGCACAATATGATTTTTGCCGTAGAGGGATGAATAAATATGTTCTATGGTTTATTTTTGATTCAATCTGCAATCTGTCTATTTAAAAATGGCTTACTTTGGGTTTATCCTGCTTCATTGTTATTGTGTCAGTGCTAGGCCTGTCACAATAACACATTTACAAGCGTGATATACTGCTGAAGTAAATATAGATGATAAACAAAGACGCTGAAAGTACTTTATGCCACCGACACAAGAGCAGATTTAAACCACAAAACCTACTCCAAATCAACAATACTGTTAAAAATCTTAGCACTTAGTCTGCATCTGGAATGAGTCATAAGCTTTTATGACTTTAATCCTATATTATTTTCCCAGTAGTTTAAAGAAAAAGTACACACAATAAATATTGATCCCAAAAGTATATAGCTTTCTTATACTGAACGATAAGTCAGTATAGTTCTGTAACATTATATTGTGCTTCAAAATGTGTTATCGTGACAGTGTATGTGCTTGTTTCAGCCCTATTTTGAATTTACATGACCAGCCAGACTCTTCTACATTCTGTCCAAATCCAGAAGGGACAGGGAGCGGACCATAAAGAGTGAAAAAACCTCTGTTCAAATTTTTTAAAGATCCAACCAGGGGCGCAGGTTTGGTCTCAGCTTTGGTGGGGACATTATCACACTGCAAAAACCAACACATCTTTATAAGAAAGTGTAAAATGGGAGAAAAAGTTGCGTATATGTTTTATGAATTCTTTCCAAAAACACACAGAGTCTGGGCAGGTCCAAAATAAGTGAGAGGTGGTTTCATTTTTCAGTTCGCAGAATGTCCAGGTAGTGTCCATTGCACTTCTAAGATGATTCTTTAGTGGAAAACGTAGAATGTAGAAGTTTGTAGCAGATTTCTCTTTGCTTGTTGGTGATGAGATATTTGTGAGGTCATGTCCAAACATTTTTCCATGGAATATTGTCAATAGATTCGGGCTGTTCACAGCGCACGATAGGGTTAGGTATCATTGAGAAGTTGCCGATACGATACATACCTTGATACATAGGCCACGATATGATACATATCTCGATACAGTGCACTTTTGATTCAGTATGATATATTTCAAATCAATTTAGATACGGTTCAATAAAAAATAAAGGCTAATTAGTCCTTTTTAAACAACCACTTCCTGTGCAAAGTGAATACGAAACACAAACATTTTAATCCTCAAAACAGTGATAATGTCAAATGTGTTGCATAAATGAGTTTCTTTCCTCTAAAGAAGCAACAAAACTGCAGCAAACAAGTAAATAATTAAGTAAAATACACCAAAAAATACTCTTGGCGATGTATCGATACAGCAGCCCATGATATCGATACTGTATCATCACATTAAACGATACGATATATTGATATTTCAATATTTTTGCACACCCCTAGTGCACGAGTAGGGCTTTGTTTGGGAGGTGCACTTGTGGTGATAGTCGCTCTTTTTCTGCGGCGACTCATTATAAGGCAAGTTTAAGTGAAGATGAAGGCAAGTAAGTTCATTTTGAAAAGTTTTTCAAAATTTGTTGCGCTGCGTCTTCACTCACGCCTGCTCAAGCCGACATCTTCAGGTGCGGCCCTGTCCTGCCGCTTCCCCAGTTTAGGCTCCTGGTTCCACTAATGACATCACTCTGTTGCAGCCAGTGAAACAGTGGCAGGAGTAACCCTGTCGTCATATCACTGAATACATCTCAGAACGTCTCATAAACAGAATGTGAACTAAAACATGTTAAATTAATACTATTGGGTTTGGAAAAATATCGGAATAAATTTAGATTTTTGTTTAATAAAATAAAATGGCAAATATTGGAAGGGACTATTTTGTCTTCTAGGGGTGTGCAAAAATATCAAAATATCGATATATCGTATCATTTAATGTCATGATACTGTATCGATATCGTGGGCTGCTGTATCGATACATCACCAAGAGTGTTTTTTGGTATATTTTGCTAAATTATTTTATTACAGCGCTACAGTTTTGTTGCTTGTTTAGAGGAAGGAAACTCGTTTATGCAACATATTCGACATTTTCACTGTTTTTATGATTAAAATTGACGTTTTTTATATTAACCTTGCACAGGAAACGGTTTAACAAAGACTTTTGGGACATGGATCACAGCCATGATTTAGCCATTATTTTTTATTGAACCGTGTCAAATCGATTTGAAATATATCGTGTTGAATCGAAAGTGCACTGTATCGAGATATGTATCGTATCATGGCCTATGTATCGAAGTATGTATCGTATCGGCAACTTCTTAATGATACCCACCACAGCCGCTAATTTGTAGCTCTCCAACACATTTAGAACAAAATATATAACTTATTTTACCTGAAATAAGTCATAGTTTGGTGCTCTGATTGTTGATTCTGTAAAAATCCTTGCTGTTTCTCAATCCTTTATGTAGATTTTTCTTCTTTTTTATGTGTAAGGAGCGTGTTTGTTTTTGATGCGTACGGAACATAAAAAAAACTGTGAGCACATTTTTTGTTGTGATTATTTTTTATTTCTATTATGATTTCACTTATGTTATATGTTCCATTGTATAAGAATGTAAATCTCTACTTGCCCAAAATAAATACATCAATTAAAAAATCATTGAGACAGGACACAGCTTCAGATCCACTCGTCTTTGTCAAGTTTTTTCTGGACAGGTAAAATTTTAACTCTGTGTTTTTGTCCTTCAGATTCCCAATGGGCGAATCGGGTCGGCGCTCCACCCTGGTCTCCCGTCTGCCCATCTTCAGACGCAGCAGCAGCAAGAGACAGGACTCCCTCCCCTCCTCTCCGTCCTCCGGGGGTCTCACCAACGGGGTCCACACCTCCTCCCCCTCCAGCACCAACTCCAGCTCGGGCAGCACAGGCAAGAGACGCAGCATCTTCCGGGCCCCGTCTCTCGGATTCAGCTCCAAACGGAACAGCGAGCCCCGCGACCACAACGTCAACCTAAACCTCAGCTCCGCCCCTCCAGCCAACGCCCAGGCCACAGACGCCAATGGGAACAGCCAGAGCAACATCCCCACTTCAGTGTCCACTACGGGCTTCGTCGAGGGAGGGGGGCGGTCCAAAAACAGGCATTCGTTTGGGTTTGGGAGTCACAAGCAGAAGAAGATCACGCGGTCCCAGACGGAGGATTTTGATAAGGCGTCGTCCTCTTCATCATCAGCAGGTACGATTGATTAATATTTTTTTAAAGAGCTCCTATTGCGCTGTTTTCTGATTTATGTTGTTAACATTGTTTCCTCATCACAAACCGACCTGAAGTTGTGTTTTGTTTCATTCACACACGTTTGAGTAGCTCTGTTAGTCTGTCTACATTTCCAAATCTCAGAATGCTCTGCTTCACCCACAGACCGTTTAAAAAAGTGGACTAAGCGAGTGTGACGTCACCCACAGTGTTCAGCGTCACTCCAGTGAAGGTCACGGTGCAAACGGTTATAGGAGCGAATTTGGAGCCAGGCTTTATATAAAAAGCAGTAAATATCATTGTTTTGACGAGCTGGTAAGACTGGTAAGAGTTTATGTTCTGACTAAGCAATGAAGAAGTGAGGTTGCCTTATAAAAAGTGCCATTTAAAAAAGACCAAAACACCTCTAAAATAAAAGCAATGCAGTTTTAGTCCATGCATGAGGGAAAATGATAAAATATGTTTATTTTGTAATTACAAATTAGTTTAAACGATTCAATCAGAGTCAACCAAAAGGCCATATGTGACCCTGGAGCTGGAGAATGCCCAGGTTTGCTCTATATTATGAATAGGATTTTTTTGCCAGACAAAACAGTGTGGGGAAAAAAAAACAAAACACCAGCATGTAGAGCGGGTTAATATGAACATTTTAAGACTAAAATGACCAGGCTCACTGCAGCAGTCACAGAAAGAGGGATGACAGTATTCCAATATAAATCAAGTGAACTTCCTATTTGGAAGCTATATCCATTTATATAGTCCACAGACTATATATAGACTATAGACTGTATAAAAAAGTGGATTAAATGAGTGTGACGTCACCCACAGCCTTCAGCTCCACTCAAATGAAGCTCACGATGCAAACTGCTACAGGAGTGAATTTGGAGCCAGGCTTTGACTGATAAAAAAAAAAAAAAACAACAGGGTCATGTAGAGCGTCTTAATACGAACATTTTAAGACCAAAATGATGAGGCTCACAGCAGCAGTTAAAGAGAGAAGGGCCACAGTACTTCAATGTAAGTCAATGGGAGCCAGCGTCAGAAGGAGCCAGAAGAGCCGCATGCAAACTTCCTTTTTGGAACATGGAGGCGAGTGCGTAAACTATGTCCTTTTATATATACAGTTTATGGTTCCACCTTCTGATGTCAGGAAACTGTAATTTTCAAGTTAACATCTACCTTTTACTTTTTACCTTCAGTAGAGATCGGCAATTCCAGGGCTCAAATTATCCAAATGATTCTAGTGAAGGTGTATGGAGTTTAAAAACACAGTGTAGCACTTCTGTATTACCACATGACAAGGTGTAACAGATCGCGTTCTGTTTTTATCAGTCTAAATATGCAGGGACATTAAACATGTGTGAATGAAACAAAACACAACTACATGTATGAAGAAAAGAGTAGAGCGCTTCACTGGGTCATAAAAGAGTAAAAAAATAGCAGTACAGATGAGTTCCCTTACTGAAATATATAAAATTAAAATACAAAAGTGCCTCCAGTTTGTATCTTTCTCACTTTTATATTTTTCAGTAAGGGTAACTTTCTGTTTAAGACAAATACATGTATGTTTGTGATGAGGAAACAACATTTAGATATACATAATAGTCTAATATAGGCCCTTTAATAAAGAACTTAGAAAGTACTGAATTCATCACCATATTACTAATCACAACAAAAAAGTAATGCACCAAAATGTATGACCTCTCCCTCCGCAGGAAACCGAAACGTCTTCATAAACTGCATCAGCGGCTCCAGGGTGAACGAGGGCGATGACTCCGGTTTTATGGACGACTTCAGCGGCGCCAGTAACAACAACAAGCGCTCGTCCTCCTCTCGCCAGAAGAAGCAGCTCCTCCCCAAGTCCTTCTCCGCCCACCACCGCTTCTCCAAGACCTCGGACCACCACAGACCCCCCGAAGTGACGCTCGAGCCCCCCTCCTCCACCACCACGCTCACCCCGGGGTCCTGGCCTGGAGAGCTGACGGGCGCTGGGTACGGATGTCACCAAGTCATGTTTTAGTGTGATGATGACTGTAAGAATAAACTAGGGCTGCACAATTAATCGCAGTCGAATAGAACTTTGAGTTGATGTAATTATCAAAGGTCCGTGTACCATTCGTTCTTTTAATTTTCATTTCTTTATACCATTTTAGTGACTCTATTTCCAATATTTAATTTAAAGTTTACTTCATGGGTGGGCAAACTACGGCCCAGGAGCCATATCTTTTTAATCCGGCGCGCCAAACTTGAATAATAATAATAATAATAATAATTTTCAGTGTTTTAAAAGTCATTTCAATACCGTATTTTCTGGACTATAAGTTGCACCGGAGCAGAAGTCGCACCAGCCAAAAAATGCGCAATGAAGAAGAAAAAAAAGTATATAAGTCGCACCGGAATATGAGTTGCACTTTTTGGGGAAATGTATTTTGTATTTCAGATAATTATAGCATAAACAACAGAACATAAGTTTACCAAACTCACAATCTCACTCCAAATCACTAAATCCATTCAATTCTTCATCCTCGGTGTCACTTCTGCGCAACCTCCAGAGATAAACCGTAGATCCATGATGTAAACAGAGCGCCACTTCCTCTTCTGTGTAGCTGTCGTCAGACTCGGTATCAGTTCCAGTTAGAATTATTCCGGCTTTTCTGAATCCCAACAGGATGGTTTCGGCGTCACTGAAGTCCAGGCTTTGTCGATCCATCCAGTGACTTCCAGGAAACTTTCATGGCGCGCTCGCCCGGTTGCCGTGAAGCTGTGTTCTCCGTCGCCGCTTTCCACCAGTCAATCAGAAGTTTCTCGCCCACTCTAAACTTTCTTTTTGCTGCTCGATTACCATTTTCAGCTGATAATTTCACTATTTGCCGTGAGACTGCGGCTTTTATTGCAGGAGACATGCGCAATAGAGTGCGAAGTGACAGTTGTACAGGAGTAATAGGAGCATCAGATACTGACACACAAGCCTAGAGCCTCTCGCAGCTTCAGCGTGAAAATTTTAATGTAGCACCCGAGTATAAGTATCACAGGAAACACCCAAACCATGAAAAAAAGTGCGACTTATTGTCCAAAAAATACGGTAAATAGTAAATACCATGGGACTTGAAAGACAGATATTTTGTTGTAATCCTTTGTAATGATTTTCAGTTATATTTTCTACATATCCCATGTTATTTTATTTTCTTATGAGGTGGATTACAAAAAACCTCCATCCATCTGCTCCTGGTCTCGCCCTTCTGTCAAATTTTAGAACCCTTTGTGACCCATGAATCAAAAAGTTTGCCCACCCCTGGTTTACTTCAAATAACTCCAGTCATAAAACAGTCATCGTGCCTTTTTCAATTTAGATATTTTATTCTCTGTGGTTTATTTGCCCCAAAAGTTCTGCCTCTAGGAGAACTTACCTGAAAAATCGCTGCAATTTTGTGAACAAACATGTCCTCTTCTCGTGTTTACTTTCGCGTCTTAAAAAGCAATTGTTGAACTCCAAGACGAGAAACAGGAAACGGCGATAAACTCCTTTGTTCATTTGACATTGAACTCACACGCGGCACGCTAAGCAGCAGAACTTATATATAAACCAGAGAGAATGAAATATCAAAATTGAAATAGACACTGAGACTGCTTTTTGATTAGTGTTATTTGAGATAAACTTTAAATTTAATATTGCAAATAGAGATGGAAATCTGTTTTTTTTTGTTTGACACTAAAACGGTTTTCGTAAGTTTTTCGTTCTTAATTGAAATTCAAAAGAACGAATCGTACACGGACCATCAACTCACAAAAGCTGCAGTAATTTAGATAATAGAATGTCCTCTGAAAATAATAAAATATTCTGTCTCTTTATATCGAAAAAAATCTTGTTGTCTCTTTACAAACATGTTCTGAAATGCATGTGATTCTTATTAGTTAATCAGTTCGTATTTTCATTCTTCTCAACAAAATCCTACTTTTTAAACATCGCAAAACTAATCACAATCGTAACACTTCCGAAAAATCACAATTGCATTATTTTCCAAAATCCGTGCAGCCCTAACAATGATTCTTATGATTATATTGTGACTTGAATAATGATAATTTTCGATTAACCTAATAAATTTTACTCCCTCAGTGCTGGAGGAGAGAGTTCTCTGCAGTCTCCCATGATTTCAGAGGATCGGACCACTGCGATCACCCCGTCCGAGTTTCACCCCATCACGGAGGATTCTGTGTCTGATTCTGTGGACGTCCTGCCCACGCCCAGCCCCGTGCCAGTGCTACCCCCAGAGTCTGCCACCCTCCCTGGGCAAGACGAGACCAACACTGCCCTAGACCCTCCACCCGCTCCGGAGAACAATAACACGGTCATCTCTACCTCCCAAGTATGTACCTATAAACCTTTTTGAATTCATTAAAGGCGCATTATGTAACTTTTCTGCCACCTGCTTGTCTCCATGGATGGCCTTAAACTTATTTATCTTGCCTTCTATATAATATTATAGGTGTTTCTATTGCTAAAATGCAATAGAAGGCTTTCAAAAACACGTTCTCCACAGATTTGAACTTCAAATTCAATCACTTAATAGCTGTAGTAGTTTTTTATTTGGTTATTTTGCTGCGCTATAAAACCAAACAAAACAAAATATATGACTACAACCCCATGGATCATGACCGAAAGGGTTTAGGCTGAAGTAAAATATATGTATAATGCCAAACCTTATTAAACAATGACAGAATTCCAAGAAAGAAAGCAGCGTATGAACAGCAAGTTTGCATTTAAAATTTCACTTACGACTTACTGTATATATAAGAGACAAAATATACATTAAAACAAACTAAATTTAATGCATAATTCAGTCATTCCAGAGTTCTATATCTTTCAAAACATAATGCTTTATACTACTGTTTTTTTTTTTTTTTTTTGTTTTTTTTTTTTAAAGCTTCTACAGCAGGGTTTGTCAAAGTTCAAATTCACAGAGGCCAAAATTAAAAACTGCTACTAAGTCATGGGCCAAACTAAGTATTAATTGAAAAATTTCAACAACATCTGCATGTTTTCTCTTCTTTTGAGAACTGTAATGTTAAATCTTTTCTTATTAAAATAAATGTTTAATAATAGTTTTGCTTAAACACTGAATCCAGAGCAAACATAATATAAAATCATAACAAAATGTTAAATAAATCATGTCTCTATTGCCTGTCTGTAGCGTTTGAACTTTTTTTCACAAGCCAACAATCAGTCAAAATGCAGCAACACATTTGCAAAGCATTCTGGGATTCATTGTATTAGCAGTGCATGTTGGGGGCCAGCTCTAATACGTACTTGATATGATTTCTCAGGCCAAATATAATTATATCGCAGGCCAAATTTGGCCCCTGGGCCTGAGTTTGACATGTCTGCTCTACAGTGTTAGTCTTTTTTCTTTTAAAATCATCACTCAGATTGGTCAGGTTTAAAGAAAACATGTTTTGTTTTTCATTTATGGTCGTACAAACTAATAATAATGTTAACAAAGGCACAAAAGTTTATCGTTGATGATCACACAAAATAAACCATAATGAGAATGAAAAAATGAAAGGATTTTTTTTGTTTTCGTTTATGGTCGTACAAACTAATAACAATGATAAAAGAAGGCACAAAATGTATCGTTTATGATTGTTTGTTTCAAAATAAAAGGCAATGTTAAAGAAAATCACATGTTTAGTAAATAGTTGCGCTTACTTTTCTCCATGAAGGTTGATAAGTTGAATGCCATACTGTGGAACATTCCAGACAAAGCAATAACCAAAAATAGCTCCATTACATTGTTCTTGTACCATAGACTGTATTTTTAATTCACTTTGTATTGAGAAAATGCCGCTCTTCTTTCTGTAACTGCTGTTCTCAGGCTCCTCATTTTGGTGTTAAAGTGTTCATATTAACTTGCTCTACATGATCATGGTGTTTTTATTTTGTCTGTAAATCAATTCCTATGTGGAACTTGGCTCGCCCAGGTGAGCTTCATTTGACTAGAGCTGAACACGATGAGTGACGTTACACTCACTTAGTCCACTTCTTTATAAAGTCTATGATTGCAACTCTGAAACTGGGCCATTGTGGGACTTGTAAAGGTTTTCTTATCTTATATAATTTAATACAAAACTAAATCACTGGATGATATTTTTGGAATTCTATTAGAAACGTAATTTGGTTGAGATTCAAGTGTCGCACAAATGTGAGTGAGATTTTCAACGCCGGTTTTTCATTTGAAGTCTATCAGATCTTGGTGCTGCTTTTTGATAGTTTTTATATTAATAGTATCACTCAGTCACAGTACGACGCTGTGGACGGCTCTGAGTTTTCAAAGAGGGTGTGACGTCTTCAGGTGTCACTGCAATGTTTAAGTAAAGATTAACTGTTCTTAAAAGCAGCATTTGTGTTTCGAAATTACTCTACAAGTTTTGGCAAGTGCAGATAATGTATGGAGAGATGTGCAGGGTGTGAAAGGAGTACATGTCCCATATACTCGTGTCTGAACTGCTCCTCATGTTTAGTCAGAGCCAACTTTACTTTACTGAAGGTGTTTTGCAGATGTTTTTTGATTGTACTTTCTTCTCACAATTTTTATTATTAGAGGTCCTATATTACTAGGGGTGTAACGATACACAAAAATCACAGTTTGGTACGTACCTCGGTTTTCAGGTCACATTTTCGGTACAGTTTGGGATCAAAATGTAAAACCATTTGCTTGTTGTTTATTTGTGATTTTATTAAACTAACAATTTGTGTTAACATTATACAAATGGGAAATAAAATAAATGCAAGGTGCTGCTTGGCAATACTAATAAATAAAATAAAATAAAATATTCTCAAATAAGCAACAAATGTTTGAAATATTATAAAAAATAAATTCCTTGTAAACAGTAAACCAAACTTTTCATAAAGTAAAACGCAGCACTAACAGTTCCAGCATGAAGTTTTACTCAGTCTTCATATTTTTGGTCAGAAAAATGAACTTGTCCACAATGTTTGCAGCAAGTTCAGATGTTTTGGAAGTTACAATGTCCCTGAGCGGTTTCACTAGGGACACAGGTCACGGGTATGAGGGGGTATGAGGGGGTATGTATGAGGGGTATGAGGGGATATGAGGGGGTATGTATGGGGTATGAGGGGGTATGAGGGGTATGTATGAGGGTATGAGAGGGTATATGAGGGGGTATGAGGGGGTATGATGGGGTATGATGGGGTATGAGGGGTATGAGGGGTGTATGAGGGGTATGAGAGGGTATAAGGGGGTATGAGGGGGTATGAGGGGGTATGAGGGTGTAATGAGGGGTATGAGGGGGTATGAGGGGGTATGATGAGGGGTATGATGGGGGTATGTATGAGGGGTATGATGAGGGGTATAGGGTATGATGAGGGGTATGAGGGGTATGAGGGTGTATGAGGGGGTATGAGGGGGTATGAGGGGTATGAGGGTGTATGATGAGGGGTATGAGAGGGGTATGAGGGGTATGAGGGGGTATGAGGGGGTATATGTATGAGGGTATGAAGGGGTATGAGGGGTATGAGGGGGTATGAGGGGTATGAGGGGGTATGAGGGTGTATGAGGGGGTATGAGAGGGTATGAGGGTGTATGAGGGGGTATGAGGGTGTATGAGGGGGTATGGGGGGGGGACTCCATGCCGGTGAAAGTGAGGACCGCGGCGCTACGACCATAGTTTTGTTAGTTCACGTTAGTTTTGTTTGTTCACGTGGTTCGGAGGGACGTGGTCAAGACGGGGCGCAATTGTTGTCAAGGTGGTCGCCCTAACTATAGAGCGCGGCGGGAAACACCGGACCAGTTCCCTCGTGAATATGAAAGAGCTGAGCCTTTTGTGTAGCTGCACATGTAGTCACGGAACACACACAAATTGCTCGAACTCACCCGCACACAGCCCTGCACTGAACTGAACGTCCCGTACCAAAACAGATTCGGCACGAGTACATGTACCATTACACCCCTATTTATTACGTAAAACTTACTCTTGTGAGCTTTAAGCCAAGTTAGAATGTTGTTACTTCATCAAATACATACCCAGAGTTGTGTTTTGTTTCATTCACACGTTTGAGTAATCTGTCTTCTCCAAAAGTCATCTCCAAAGCTCAAAATGCTCTGTTCCACCTTGTGATGTCATGCAGCGGTAGTTTTCATGTTACCTGCTACTTTTTTACCTTTAGTTCATTAGAGACTGGAAATTCCTGAAATTATCCAAATGATTCTAGTGAAGGTATATGGAGTTTAAAAACACTGTGGAGCATTTCCTGTATCACCACATGACATCACAAGGTGGAAGAGAGAGAAGAATCAGCGTAAATATGCAGGTTTTGTGTGTTAAACATGTGTGAATGGAACAAAACACAACTCCAGGTCTGTTTGTGATGAGGAAACATTATAACATAGATCAGAAAATAGAGTAATATTTTTTAAAAACTTTTCTCGGACTTTATCTTAAGCCGACTCAATTTGACTGTTTCATTCTACTTCTTCATTTCATTCTACTTCTTTTCAGGTTGCAACTATTACTTCTAACCTAATTTGAACTGCATTTCCTATTCATAAACAGAAACTGCAATCCATAATCATAAAGCTCTTATCCATTCAGCTGGGGACAGTCATTTTGTATTTTTGGTTTCCCATTTTCCATCAGAGGTGTAATATCGATGCAAAGTAGATGGGGGTGTTAAAAATATATTGAAATTGTTACGTTAGAGCTGTGCAAAATCCATAATAAGAAATAATCTAATAAGAAATAAACAGTGTAATCTTGTAAACTATTTTAAAATCCATTCATTTGTGTGATGATAACGATAATGCACTGGGTATAGCTTTTGTTGATGCCCAGTGTGCTTTATGTTGCTTTATTCATTCACTCCAGAGTCAGTGGTGGTAAGATGCAACTATAAACAACTTCATGCCACTAAAACAATAACAATAATGAAGGTTAAGTCCAGTAAACAGGTTTGTATACATCTTTAAAAGGCAGAGGCTGCAGCAAATGAACTACAGAATGAAAAAAATGACCTCAGGGTTGGAGGTTTGAATCCCGTTCTCGACCTAAAAATCATTGGTAGCTCCCACAGATGAATGCTGTTGTTGTGTCCTTGGGCAAGACATTTAACACACCTCACTCCTAGTGTCTGTGTACACTGGTGAATGTGTGTGAATGTGTGAGTGGTTCCTTGATGTAAAGCGCTTTGAGTGCCTTGAAGGTAGAAAATCTCTGTATAAAAATGTGACCATTTACCATTTTCCATCCATTTTCTTTGCTTATCCGGGGCCGGGTCACGGGGGCAGCAGTCTAAGCAGGGACTCCCAGACTTCCATCACCCCAGACACGTCCTTCAGCTCTTCTGGGGGGACCCCGAGGCGTTCCCAGGCCAGCCAAGAGACATTGTCCCTCTATCGTGTCCTGGGTCTTCCCCGGGGCCTCCTCCCGGATGTGCCCAGAACACCTCCCAAGGGAGGCACCCAGGAGGCATCCAGAACAGATGCCCGAGCCACCTCAACTGGCTCCTCTCGATGTGGAGGAGCAGCGGCTCTACTTTGAGCTCCTCACCCTATCTCTAAGGGAGCGCCCAGCCACCTTGCGAAGGAAACTGATTTCGAGTGCTTGTATCCGTGATCTTGTCCTTTCGGTCATTACCCAGAGCTCATGACCATAGGTGAGGGTAGGAACGAAGATTGACCGGTAAATCGAGAGCTTCGCCTTTCCGCACAGCTCCTCAGTTGAACTCCTCCACTTGAGGAGGAGTTCAAGTATCCATTTACCATTTTAAATATCAAAAAACTCCATATACTGAGCACTACTTTCTCACCACAAACACCATTGTCAAACAGTCTCCTCCGTGCCGTGTCTCCTGTACAGTACAGAATGTGTTCAGTTTGCCAAATTTACATAAATGTTCGATCTCTAGCAGTAGCACGTACAGTCTGCGTCAGGTGCTCCTCGTCTCGCGATCGAGGAGCTTTAGTCTCAAACTTAGGGTGATCACATTTTCAAAATTCAAAACTGGGACACACCCGAGTTGGGATTTTTGGTATGAATAAAATTGTGAAAAGAGCGTGTAACATTGTAGATTCTTGTGTCAGTCATAATCTGAGGGGTTTCTGTAGCTGCATTTTTTTGCTTTATGGTCATTATCAAACATGGTTTTCTGTGTTTTGGCAAAGCAAATGAGAATTTATGATCCTCTTTAGTGTTGGCAGAGATCAGATTAGTCAAAAATTTTGATAATCCTGTTTTAGTCTTGGTTTAGATCAAATTGGTAAAAACCTGGGATATTTCTTGTATAAAACTGGGACAAATCACTGGTTTTCTATAAATCTGCTGGGACAGGGGACCCAAGGCTCAAAACTGGAACTATCCCGGGTAAATCGGGACGTCTGGTCACCCTTCTCAAACTCCACTAAAAGCTTCTATGCACTGTATCATGTGAGTGTGTAGAGCTTTTAGACAGGTCCTAAACAGTGCACTTAGTAAAACAAAGTGTGATTTTAACAAATTACAAAAACAAAACCGTGCGTTCTCAAGTTGCACATTTTAGTTTTAATATGAGCAGGTTTGGCCCCAACATTTGAGCCCATTTCGTCAGGTTAAAAAAAAAAACCTGACCTGCGCATCATTATTGTGCACACATTCAAAACAATCTTCCAAATTGTCTTATTGCAGGTTTTCTTCAGTCCAGTCCAGTCCAGCGCTGAGAAGGCTCTACCGGCCGACACCAGCACGGCCAACAACACGGACTACGAGACCGCCGTGTCCCTCTCCGAACCAGAGACCGCCGTGCCCTGTCTGCCGCTGAAAGAACAGAGCGAGGAGGAGAGGAGAGAGAGGGAGGAGGAGAGGAAGGAGGCCAGAGAGGAGGTAAGGAGGGGAGAGAGAGGAGATGAGGGAGGGAGGAGAGAGAGGGAAGGAGAGGTCAGAAGGAAGGAGGTCAGAAAGGAGGAAGAGGGAGGGAGAGAGGGAGAGGAGGAGGGGAAAGAGAGGTAGCAAGGGACAAGGAGAGAACATATAAGAGTGTTTTGACCCAGAATGGATCAGGACATATTTAGAAAGGGACATGGAAGTAGGGCTGCTCGGTTATGGAAAAAAAATCATTATCACGATTATTTTTGGTCAATATTGAAATCACGATTATTCAAACGATTATTTTTTTAGTTACACGATGCATTTATTCAGCAATTCTCTCTCAAAAAATCATCTGTTATTGATAATTTACGCAAAATTGCAGGCCACAGATATGTACCTTTAGAGCAGTTCTGTGATGTATAAAACATAAAATGAATAAAATATACTTTGAACATGAAATAAAGCATAGAAAAACATAAATGCATCCAAAATAAACTATATATCAAGCTGTTCTACAATCTCTATATTTAAAAAACGAAATCAATATACTTATTTATGTAAAAAGTATCCCAAAATAAACTCGATTTCAACTCGATTATATGAGTTTGGAGATCATTTGACACAAATCCAAATCGCAATCAAAATTCGATTAATTGCACAGCCTTACATGGAAGAAAAAGTTAAGGATTGTATTTCTTTTCTTTTTTTCTTTTTATATTTTGGATGATGGAACCACAAAATGGATGACAAAAAAACAAAAAAATTAAGTACCAAAGGAAAAGACCCTGGTGAGCCGGCCAACCTAAAATAAGGACGGTGCACCCCTGTCCCTACCCTAATGAAAACACAACCCCAAAAACTATCCCTACATAAAATAACAACGAAAACAGGACATCTGGACTCACCAGGGCAAACAAAAAAAATTACAGAAAGCTAACAAAACAGCATAGGAGCCAGTGAGGACGTGTGCGCTCCTCGAGAACGGCGAGCCACAGCGAAGGAGAAGAGACATGGAACTTTGTACATCCAAAAATAAATTACTTGCAAAAACAAAACTGGGAAAATACTACAAAGAAAACAGACAATAAAAATAAAAATACAGGGGCAAGACGTAACATGGAGCTAGGGGCAGAAGGAGGTGAGAAGAAAGTGTGTATAAATAAGAAAATGAACAACTTAAATTAATGTTTTACAACTTTTTAAAAGTTTTAGTACAAATGCCAGTTTTGCTTTAGGGATCCGGAGTTGTTTACATTTTCATTGCTCACATTTTGGTGGATATAGTATAAGTTTATTTATGTGAGATTTAGGGTTATTGTGTTGGTATTAATTTCATCAATGGCAAAAGAATCTGGAATTCTAGTAGCATCTTCTGTTCTGATGATCTATTGAATGTTTTTGTCTTTTTACCAAATTCAACCTTCTTCTGCTGTGGATCCTACCTGGATAAATGGACACAAACCGTTTTATCAATACATGCATCCCGAATTTCGGACTTACGGTCGTTGCGCAATGCATACTCAATGATCCTCCAAAAAAGTCAGCATCAAATCGCCATGTTTGTTTTCCCAGTGGGATGCGTTTATTGTCAAAGCCGATCTTTTCTAGTCTTTTGAACCATATCACTTTTGTTTCTGGTTCTGATATTGTCATATTTTAGTTTTGGGATTCGGACATCGTAATTATGTGGTTGTTGGATCCTAACAGTGGAAAACGGGCTTCGGAAGTTTGTGAACTCCATAAATGCAAAAGGGAATCAGATGTGTGTGACTGCAAACCTCCGTTGAAACTGTTTCCCTTTCCAACGGAATTGAAAAATAGTGAAAGGTGAAGGTGATAGGCAGGATTGATCCACAGGAAGGACAAAAAAGGAAACATGTGGCTGCCTAAGAAATCATCCCGAGTTTGCAGTGAACATTTTGTATGTGGAGCACCAACAAAGCAAAAAACAAAAGCGATATGGTTCAAAAGACTTGAAATGATGTGCTTTGACAATAGACGCATCTCACGTGAGCAACAAACATGGCAGTTTGATGCTCACTTTTTGGAGGACCCTTCCCAGTATGCATTTTGTGATGAGTGTCAAGTCAAAAATTTTGGATACATTTATTCTTTTAACACCTTATTTTCTATAGAAATGTCCATTCTCTCACTTTTTCATGTGTTCTTGCTACAGGCCTCGGTGGAGGAGAGGAGGGAGGTGAGCAGAGGGCGGAGGGTGGCGTACCTCACGGAGACCAGTGAGAGCGAGCCATGTGTGGTCCGCAGCGAGGGGGCGGGGCCGGAGCGGAGGACCAGGACCACCAGGTCGTTTCAGGAGCCCAGAGGAACCAACTGCGGCTGCCAAGAGCCCAGGCACGCCCACCTCAGGAAGCATGCAGGTAAGAAGGAGGGAGGGAGAGAGGGGATAGAGAGAGTAAAGGAGGAAGCCCAGAGGAAGCTACTGCGGCTGCCAAGAACCCAGGCACGCCCACCTCAGGAACAGAGTGTGGATTGGGACAAATTTTTCTGTCTGAGCTTGACCCGTGTCCGACAGAGCAGCGATCGAATCCAACCCAAGATATTTGTGTCCGAACCCGACCGAACGCACTTTGCGGACACCCTGCACCATGGGCTTGGTGTTCTCTCAGGGGCGGTCCTAGATTCTAAGTCCTAGTCCAAGATTAGTCCTGGTTTAGATAAAAGATAAAAGTGAAAAAATGCATCAGCCATCTGAGTGTGCTATACATTTTTTCACTTTTATCTTACTGCTCCTTGTATTTGCACCTCTACAGGAATTTTGGTGTGTGTTTTCTGTTTCTTTTGATTAGTCCTGGTTTAGTCCTGGTTTAGACCTGGTTTAGACCTGGTTTAGTCCTGGTTTAGTCCTGGTTTAGACCTGGTTCATTCCTAGTTTAGACCTGGTTTAGTCCTGGTTTAGACCTGGTTTAGTCCTGGTTCAGTCCTTGTTTAGACCTGGTTGGTTTAGACCTGGTTTAGACCTGGTTTAGTCCTGGTTCAGTCCTGGTTTGGTCCTGGTTTAGTCCTGGTTTAGTCCTGGTTTAAACCTGGTTTAGTCCTGGTTTTGTTCTGGTTTAGACCTGGTTTAGTCCTGGTTTTGTTCTGGTTTAGACCTGATTTAGTCCTGGTTCAATTCTGGTTTAAACCTGGTTTAGTCCTGGTTCAGTCCTGGTTCAGTTCTGGTTCAGTTCTGGTTTAGACCTGGTTTAGTCCTGGTTTAGTCCTGGTTTAGTCCTAGTTTAGTCCTGGTTCAGTACTGGTTCAGTCCTGGTTTGGTCCTGGTTTAGTCCTGGTTTAAACCTGGTTTAGTCCTGGTTCAGTTCTGGTTTAGACCTGGTTTAGTCCTGGTTTAGTCCTGGTTTAAACCAGGTTTAAACCTGTTTCAGACCTGGTTCATTCCTGGTTCATTCCTGGTTTAGTCCTGGTTTAGACCTGGTTTAGTCCTGGTTTAGACCTGGTTCAGTCCTGGTTTAGTCCCTTTCCTGGTCAATAACAGACAAAGGAAACAAACACGTGGATAACTGTCCCAGAGCGCCCCCTGTCTTTAGGCTACTTCACGAAAAAACACCACCAAAAAAAAATAAAAAAGAAAATCCAAGGAGAAGCACAGTGAAGGAGAGATCCACTTCCAGGGACAGATCATAAACATTGCTTTTATCATTATTTGTTTTACTTTAGGTCTATAAACTTGTCTTGTTAATTTTATTTCCAGTCGAGGTGTCAAACTTTGCTCTAGTGTAAGTTTCATGCGGATAGGCCCAGTAATTACAGTAATAGACAGAAGAGACGTGTTTAGAATAACAACGCACGCAGCCCTCCACTGATATAAACATTCTGTCCCATTCATTTTAATGAGGCAGCAAAATAATGACTTGAATTTTGACATTTAGAGAGCAGACAAATAGTTGTTCATTTTAGCTTTGTAACATTTACCACTGAGTTATTATCTCACTTAAAGGTCCTATATTACTCAAAACTGACACTTCTGAGATTTAAGTCGTGTTTAAATGCTCTTACCTCTTCAAAAACAGACCTGGAGTTGTGTTTTGTTTCATTCACGCATGCTTGAATACGTTTTTTCTACGTTTTATTAGTCTATCTCCGCTCTGTTCCACCTTGTGATGTCATGAAGTGGTAGTTTTCGAGCTACGTTTTACTTTTAGTTCAGGAGAAATCGGGAATACTAGGGTTGAAATTATCCAAATGATTCTAGTGAAGGTGTGTGGAGTTTAAAAAAATGCAGTGGAGGACTTTCTGTTTTAACAAATGACATCACAAGGTGGAACAGAGTGTTTTCTGTTTGAGAGAAGAACTCCTAAGCCTAAATATGTGGGATTTGTGTATTAAACATGTGTGAATGAAACAAAACACAACTCCAGGTCTGTTTGTGAGGAGTAAACAACATTATAACATAGATCTGAAAGCAGACATGTCAAACTCAGGCCCGGAAGCCAAATTTCGCCCGTGATATAATTATATTTGGCCCGCGAGATTATAACAAATATGTATTAGAGCTGCCCACCGGCTACAGATAGACTATAGAGACATTATTTATTACAAATTTTGTTATTATTTTATATTATGCCTGTTCTGGATGAAATGTTTAAGCAAAACTATTATTAAACATTTATTTTAATAAGAAAAGTTTAACATTACATATCTTGAAAGAAGAGAAAACATGCAGATGTTGTTGGAATTTTTCAATAAATATTTATTTTGGCCCACGACTTAGTCCCAGTTTTTAATTTTGTTCATCTGTGAATATAAGTTTGACACCCCTGACTTAACACATGAATTTATATATATTTTTTGCCTTTTAGTAGATGGTAAATTAAGTTGAGATTATTCATTTGACTAAATTTGGGTATGTTGCAAATTTGCGCAAAACTAGAATCAAGTACTTGCCAAAGGTTCATAAGGAGGTACTGGATATACACTAACCGGCATTGGGGGAATGCAGCCGCTATCTTGGCTTATATCTTGGTCTGTCTCATATTTCTGTCACATATTTCTGACAGTTGGCGTTAAGGGGCTATAGGTGTATTTCTGTGTAACTTTCTGGTGTAGTGGCATTAAACTAAAGCCTTGAAGACAAACGTGTATCAGGCCAAGTTACAGGTCAGATCTTTGGAGAGATGACCCCCCCCCCTCATTGTGAGAATACATGTTTCTCACGGTTTTTGTTTAGCAATAACCAGAAAGTTACATCGTGCACCTTTAAAGCTCCACTAAAATTCACTTGTGCAGAAACGTAGTTGTCAAAGTGTCGTGGCCAGCGTTATTTCTGATGTGAAAAGAATAAAGTTGCTGCCTTTGCATTGGAGATAACAAAAGGAACCACACCGTTAATTAACCAACAAAAATATTTAAATGTCAAAAGTTTTTCTCTTCAAGCGTTCAGCCTGGGCCACAGACTCTTGAACTTCACATATTTGAATAATAAAAAGGATAATAATCGACAATATACTAATGTTGTCATGATATTATTAAATTTCAAACTCGATTTCGATACTAAAGAACAGATCTGATACTCAATACCGATTCTGATACTATAATGATAAAGAAAACACTTTCTTTAGACAAAATCATCATTTTCAGAGTTAAATTGAAGTATTTTTTATATTAAACTAAGACTTAGACAGACTTTATTTCTCCTGGTTCAGTTCTGGTTCATTTCTGGTTTAGCCCTGGTTTAGTCCTGGTTTACTCCTGGTTTAAGTCATGTCTTAGACCTGGTTTAGTCCTGGTTTAGCCCTGGTTTAGTTCTGGTTTAGTTCTGGTTTAATCCAGGTTTAGTGTTGGTTTAGTCCTGGTTTAGTCCTGGTTCAGTTCTGGTTCAGTCCTGGTTCATTTCTGGTTTAGTCCTGGTTCAGTCCTGGTTCATTTCTGGTTTAGTCCTGGTTCATTTCTGGTTTAGTCCTGGTTCATTTCTGGTTTAGTCCTGGCTTAAGTCCTGGTTCAGTTCTGGTTCAGTCCTGATTCACTTCTGGTTTAATCCTGGTTCATTTCTGGTTTTCTGGTTTAGTCCTGGTTTAAGTCCTGGCTTAGACCTGGTTTAATCCTGGGTTAGTCCTGGTTCAGTCCTGGTTTAGTCCTGGTTTAGTCCTGGTTCAGTTCTGGTTCAGTCCTGGTTTAGACTTGGTTTAGTCCTGTTTTAGTCCTGGTTCAGTCCATATGCAGCGCAAAAGTCCAGCGTCGCAGTTTAAGTCACGGAAACAGGAAAACAACTGTCCATTTTTTCCATTATTCACTTAAACACAAAATCGAAAACTGAAAAAACTAATCTGTTTTGGAGACAAATAATGAAGAAAATAGTTTTATCGTTTTCTTGTTTTTAGTTTTATTTTGAAAAATGAATGAACGAATTATGTTGTCTTACACTTGTTCTGATTCAACTCAAGATCATTCTAAAACTAGAGGTTCATTTCTGTCCTGTGAATGTGACTTTTTACTTGTTTTAGTATCGATTCAGATCAGATTTTTGGCACTTTTAACAACCCAAAGTCTGACTGTCTGTCCCTGTTCTCTCTTCAGGCTCCCTGTGCAGCAGCGTGAGCCCGTACCACGGCGTGATGCGGCTGGAGCGGCGTCTGCGCTCGTCCTCCGAGGGGGCGGGGGGACCTCATCTCCACGGAAACCTGCGAGACGTGCCGGGTCTGGAGGGATATGGGCTTCTCAAACACAGGCACAACTCCTCCTCCTCCAAACTGGGCAGTCTGGTAAGTCACTCTCACCGTGTTTCCCCAAAAAGATTTCAATAATTTCAGTATCAGAAGAACCGTGAAAACAAATGATGAATGCAAGATTGAAAAGTTTAACGCAGTACTATGGAAGGAGGGAACGGACCACCTCCTGTAAAGTTACGTAATACACTTTTAAGAGTCCTAATAAACGAGGTATCTGATTTTTATTGTCTTAAAAATGTGGAAAAACGATTTAATTAAGTAAAAAGAAACAGTTTGTTGTGGTTCAAAGTTATTCCTCACTTACCTTATGCATTCTATTCACTAATTATTCAACGTGATGAGTTTATGAACACTTTTCAGGCTGTGTTTTGCTGTCAACAACTAGCATGCGAACAGTGCACCAGTGTTACTTCCTGGTTCGCAGATGAGAAAAATGGTTTATAATTAAATGCAGACAGCGCACAGTGGTCTCACTTTGACTAGGGTGACCAGATTTTCAAAATTAAAAACTGGAACATCTCCAGTTTGGGTTGGTTGGCAGGGGTGTAATGACCGTGGTACGTGGGGGTTCACCGTCCACCCACTTCTCCCGACGTGAGATATAAAAATATAACAAATATAAAATGGCTTCAACTTAAATGTTAAACCGGAGCTACTGGCAATGGTGAAAACAACCTGCATAGGCTCATGATATCTGCAGGACTATCCTATAGTGACCTGAGACATGAGGGACCAGGACTGAACCAGGAGTAAACCAACACTGAACCAGGACTGAGTGTCGGGACAGGCCCGAAGGTGCACCCGCGTAGACCATCAGGTGACTGCAGGCGAAAGGACTGGTCCAGAGCTCCGCGCCTGCCGTCGCCCTGGTTTCGTGTTGGTTCAGTCCTGGTTTAGTTCTCCTGATTCAGTCCTGGTTTAGTCCTGGTTTAGTTCTCCAAGTTCAGTCCAGGATCCGTCCTGGTTTAGTCCAGTTTCAGACCTGGTTTTGTCCTGGTTCAGTCCTGTTTCAGTCCTGGTTTAGTCCTGGTTTAGTTCTCCTGGTTCAGTCGGGGATCAGTCCTGGTTTAGTCCTCTTTTAGACCTGGTTTATCCCCGGTTCTGTCCTGGATCAGTCCTGGTTCGGTCTTGGTTTAGTCCTGTTTCAGACCTGTTTCAGTCCAGGTTCAGTCCTGTTTCAAACCTGGTTTAATCCTGGTTTAGTCCTGTTTCATTCCTGGTTTAGTTCTTCTGGTTTAGTCCTGGTTCAGTCCTGGTTTAGACCTCGTTTAGAATTGGTTTAGACCTGATTTAGACCTGGTTTAGTCCTGTTTCAGACCTGTTTCAGTCCTGGTTTAGTCCTGGTTTAGACCTGGTTTAGACCTGGTTTAGACCTGGTTTAGTCCTGGTTTAGACCTGGTTTAGACCTGGTTTTGTCTTGGTTTAGACCTGTTTCAGTCCTGGTTTAGTCCTGGTTTAGACCTGGTTTAGTCTTGGTTTAGACCTGTTTCAGTCCTGTTTTAGTCCTGGTTTAGACCTGGTTTAGACCTGGTTTAGACCTAGTTTAGACTTGGTTTAGTCTTGGTTTATACCTGTTTCAGACCTGTTTTAGTCCTGTTTTAATCCTGGTTTAGTCCTGGTTTAGACCTGGTTTAGTCCTGGTTTAGACCTGTTTCAGTCCTGGTTTAGTCCTGGTTTAGTCCTGGTTCAGTTCTAGTTCATGTGTTGTAGTCTATGATTTATATTCTGTAGGTGATTCTAAACGGCGTTAATGTTAATAACATGATTCTGCATCATTTTGAGCAAAAAAACACCAAATATTACAGATTTTTACTGGCATCGATGACGCCACGAATCTCACACTCCCACTTAAAAAATACTCAGTACATCACAGGTGGCTGGTAATAATAATAATAATAAAATTGTGAATCAAGTGCGTAATTAAAGAAAATTGTTCTGCACTCTGCCCATTTATGACTAATATGTGAGTCAGTATAGTCACATTTTCTTTGTGTTTTGGTCATTTTTAAGCAGCTTTTCTGTATTTTACCTGAACAAATTACAATTTAAGCCTCTCTTTACTGTTGAGAGGGATCAAACTGGTCAAAAATAAGGACATCTGGGACATTTCTTGTCTAAAAATGGGACAAATCAGTGGGTTTGGAGACACATTGGGACTGTCCCGGGTAAATAGAGACGTCTGATCAGCCTAACTTTCACTCTAAGAGCTCCTTTTACAATATATCTGCACACATTTTACTTTATTGCATGAAAAAAATCCAGTTCAGCAGCTTTAAGTCTGTTTTTTTTAGAGTTCCAGTCCACTTATGAAACCATGCAGTCATACAATATACCACTCCATTGTTGCCGTTTAGAATGTGAGCAAATTCACAAGAGCACAAACAGATAGATGTATTAGCGCCTCATAGCTCGTAATAGCGACGCTGTACCCCTAACGGTCTTTTTATTTATGCGAACACAATGCAGCTGAGATGACACGGCGAGGCACATCTTGAACCGTAATCATATAAAATGGAGGTGATTCTCTTTGGCGGTGCAGTGGACGGGCCAGGTGCTGTGTAGTAATAATGCAGATGATTGCTGTGTTTGTTGTATTTATATAAGGCCGACAGAAGGAGGCTTTCCACTTCTAATGCCTCTACAAGTTCACTTTTATCATCTTTATTCGATACCGGTCTTCCGTTGTTGTTCTTCTGCTGCTGAGACTTTGCAGCATTCCTTCCGGTTTTTATAACAGACAATATTTTGAGGGAGCTGTTTTTAGACCTGTTTTTAGACCTGTTTTAGACCTGGTTTAGTTCTGGTTTAGACCTGGTTTAGGGCCTGGTTTAGTTCTGGTTTAGACCTGGTTTAGTCCTGGTTTAGTCCTGGTTTAGTTCTGGTTTAGACCTGGTTTAATCCTGATTTAGACCTGGTTTAGTCCTGGTTTAGACCTGGTTTAGTCCTGGCTTAGTTCTGGTTTAGACCTGGTTCAGTTCTGGTTTAGACCTGGTTCAGTTCTGGTTTAGACCTGGTTTAGTCCTGCTTTAGACCTGGTTTAGTCCTGCTTTAGACCTGGCTTAGTTCTGGTTTAGACCTGGTTTAGTTCTGGTTTAGACCTGGTTTAGTTCTGGTTTAGTTCTGGTTTAGTTCTGGTTTAGACCTGGTTTAGTCCTGGTTTAGACCTGGCTTAGTTCTGGTTTAGACCTGGTTTAGTCCTGGTTTGGATCTGGTTTAAACCTTGTTTAGTCCTGGTTTAGACCTGGTTTAGTCCTGGTTTAGTTCTGGTTTAGACCTGGCTTAGTTCTGGTTTAGACCTGGTTTAACAAAGACTTTTAGTGTCACAGCCACGATTTAGCCTTTAATTTTTTATTGACCTTTATCGAATCAATTTGAAATATATCGTATCGAATCGAAAGTGCACTGTATTAAGATATGTAGCGTATCATGGCACATCGAGGCACATCTTGAACCGTAATCATATAAAATGGAGGTGATTCTCTTTGGCGGTGCAGCGGACGGGCCAGGTGCTGTGTAGTAATAATGCAGATGATTGCTGTGTTTGTTGTATTTATATAAGGCCGACAGAAGGAGGCTTTCCACTTCTAATGCCTCTACAAGTTCACTTTTATCATCTTTATTCGATACCGGTCTTCCGTTGTTGTTCTTCTGCTGCTGAGACTTTGCAGCATTCCTTGACGGTGTGGTGCAAACTGTAGGCACTGCTCTGTTTGAGTCGTCGTTTTGCAAGTCTCGAGTCTTTGACCTCAAGTCCGAGTCCCAAGTCTCAAGTCAGATACAGCAGTGGTCCCCAACCTTTTGTGCGCCACGGACCGGTTTTTATAACAGACAGTATTTTGAGGGAGCTGTTTTTAGACCTGTTTTTAGACCTGTTTTAGACCTGGTTTAGTTCTGGTTTAGACCTTTTTTAGTTCTGGTTTAGACCTGGTTTAGACCTGTTTTAGACCTGGTTTAGTTCTGGTTTAGTTCTGGTTTAGACCTTTTTAGTTCTGGTTTAGACCTGGTTTAGACCTGGTTTTAGTCCTGGCTTAGTTCTGGTTTAGACCTGGTTCAGTTCTGGTTTAGACCTGGTTTCAGTTCTGGTTTAGACCTGGTTTAGACCTGGTTTAGTCCTGGTTTAGTCCTGCTTTAGACCTGGTTTAGTTCTGTTTAGACCTGGTTTAGTCCTGGTTTAGACCTGGTTTAGACCTGGTTTTAGTCCTGGTTTAGTTCTGGTTTAGACCTGGTTTTAGTTTCTGGTTTAGACCTGGTTTAGTTCCTGGTTTAGACCTGGTTTAGTCCTGGTTTAGACCTGGTTTAGACCTGGTTTAGTCCTGGCTTAGTCCTGGTTTAGACCTGGATTTAGTCCTGGTTTAGTCCTGCTTTAGACCTGGTTTAGTCCTGCTTTAGACCTGGTTTAGTCCTGCTTTTAGACCTGGTTTAGTCCTCTTTAGACCTGGTTTTAGACCTGGTTTAGACCTGGTTTAGACCTGGTTTAGACCTGGTTTAACAAAGACTTTTAGTGTCACAGCCACGATTTAGCCTTTAATTTTTTATTGACCTTTATCGAATCAATTTGAAATATATCGTATCGAATCGAAAGTGCACTGTATTAAGATATGTAGCGTATCATGGCCTGTGTATTGTAAAGCTGTAGCAGAGGGAACTACATAGACCATGATCCTTTGCTCCATTTCAGTGCAGACTACAAGAAGAATTAACTGTTATAAGCACTTTTAAGTCTCAGTTCTTTTGGATTCAGTCTTGTCAAGGTGTTTTAAAAGGAAAAAGTCGCATATACCACAAAATATCGCAATAAATATCGTACCGTGAGATGTATATCGTGAAAATATCGCACCGAGAGACTTGGATATCGTTACATCCCTACTATTAAGTGCACAAATCCGCTCTTTCTGGTCAAATTGTGCGAAAATAAAGCTCAGATTCAGTCTAATTTGAGTAACGGAGCTTCAGACAGAGCAGTGCTTTCGGTTAGCTTCACACCCCCAGAGAAAGTTAATAACATCCGCTGCAAAGTATCAATACTGAGAATG